CACCACCACCACCACGACGACGACGACGACGACGACGACCGCGACGACCGCGACGACCGCGACGACCGCGACGACCGCGACGACCACGACCACGACGACCACGACGACCACGTCGACCACGACCACGACGACGACGACCACGACCACGACCACGACGACCACGACCACGACCACGACGACCACGACCACGACGACCACGACCACGACCACGACGACAAAGACGACCAAGACGACGACGACGACGACTGCTCCTGCTCCTGCTCCTGCTCCTGCTCCTCCTCCTGCTGCTGCTGCTGCTGCTGCTGCTGCTTCTGTCACTGCCACTGCTGCTGCTGCTGCTGCTGCTGCTGCTGCTGCTGCCTCGATGACGACGACCACTCCTGCTTCTGCTGCTGCTGCTGCTGCTTTCGCCACGACGCCGTTGCCATTGTTGTTGTTCATGGAGGAGGCGATTTGTGTTTGTGCTATGAGCTTGGGATGCAATTTGAAGCTGTAGCATTCAGCTCGAGGGCTTGGGTTGTTCTTCGGCTTAGGATTAGGAGCTTGCCACCTGATCCTTGCCGGGGCACGGGGCTGGCTGCTATGGCACCTACATCAAGAAACCAGAACAGCCAATCTCCAGCCCCGATCCTTAAACTTTCAGCCTGAAGACTTTAGAGCCCCCAGGCCCTTGATTTGAATCCGCTGCAGGTGGCCGTGTGCAGTCCTTCGATGACAGAGGAATCTGGGCGGGACTGTTCGCGAACGGTCCGGAAGGAAGCGAAGGGAGGCGGCTGGCAGGACGCTGGGCTCGGACGGCTGGGGTTTTCGAGTCCCCCAGTGCCACTACTCGTACCAATAGCACGAGCAAAGCAACAACCAGCAAGGTAACACCAGAATCACTCTGCGGCATGCCGCACCCCTTACTTAGACATCCTCGGGCCAAAACGAGCAACATCTTGCCTTAGAAGGAAGTATCAATGGGCATCCCCGCTTTCGGCACATTCGTTCGTGTCCTCGCCGACTACGTCAGCCTGCGCTTCGGCTGGAATTCGGCCTGGAGGTTGCCAGCTTCGGGTTCATTGAACTGCCCTTACTACGATTACGACTATCCCCTTACCACTACAAGTACAGCTGCAGGTGCATACATCTAGCAAACAGAGCTCATTTATTTGCCCCTCCATCCCAAGCTCTTGCCGAGGAGCCGACGCGACGAGTGGCATCCTGCTTGGGCTGGGGTTACGCTCTACGAGATCCGCGCCTACGGGAAGGAGGTCAACGCCACGGTGTCCAACGTCGCCTGCTGCAACTGGAGGGGGGGCCGAGGGATTTAGGACCCTAGGACCTTGGCTGCAGTAGGACGCAGGATCCCTTCTCTGTAGACCCCTAGAACAAGTGCCCTTCATTTTTGCTGCAAGCTTAAGAGCTGTCCCCCCCCAAATTGGGGCCTGTACCCTGTCCTACATATAAAGAACACGCCCTCCGAGGTGCTGCACTTGGACACTCCGCTTGAAGCAGATCACTGGGGAGGCCACCGTCAGGCCGATGGGGCTTCAGACCTTGTGAGCCCTCGATTTTAGTTGTTGTAGAGATTTTTGGAAGCTCGAATCGTACACCTTGATAAGCACCTCAAGGAGTTTGCTTAAGGGCTGTACCACCTTCAGCGTTTTCAGACTCAAGAAGATGATGCTTCTTCCTGCAGCTAATGCCCGCACAGTTGGTTCAGGTCTGGAGGCCCGAAGCTTCGAAGCGACCCATTCTAGAATACCAATGACGACAGCCAGGTGGAGGGCTACTGGCTTGAAATGGCTGCAGAAGTGGTGACCCAGCAGCACAGTGACTCCAGCAGAGGCTCAGGCTTCGAGCTGGATAGTCCCGGTAAACTCTGGACGGCTGCTGCAACCCTGGAATGTTCAAAGCCAAGGTGAACCTGCAGCGTTCTGTCGTGATCACGGGCGACCACTATGATTTTTCGACCTCGGCCAAAGGCTGGCCCACTCCCGATTGCACCTGAGAGAAGAAGCGAAGAGATTGCAAGCGACAATTAGCAGCCAGGCCTCCACACCATCAGCGCCCACGGGGGTGTCATGGACATCCGTTTTGCACGTGTGGAGTACTGCCGGGAGCCCAGAGCAGGAGAACTCAGTTTTGCCCAGCCTCCTGGTGTGAGGGGTGGCCTTTGAAAGTGGTATCTAATAGGTACCAGAAGCCTCTGTCAATTCACTCATCAAGGGCTTGGGATCTTTTCCCGGTTAAATTCTGAAATCGGATTTGCAGAATCTCAGAAGTGGCCTCATCGTTTCATGTCGCATGGCAGGCGGCCAGCAGAACTTCATGGGCAAGTACTGCCTCCATTTCCACCATGCCGGGCAATGCCCAGACTGTACCTTCAAGGGCAACGCTGTGTACCAGCCTCCTGGCCGCTGAATCGAGTTAGTGAACAGTACTGTGAGCAGTTTGTGGGACTGACCTGTTTTGCTCAGGGCAGATTTGGTCGGTTGCACTGCGTTTTGACCCTGATTTGGGTGTGTTATCTGCACTTGCATCCGAATCGTACCAAACCTGGCCTGCGTTCCTTCTATCTCTGATAAGGTCTGCGCAGATTGGAATTACGGTCCATGGCGCCCTGGATCGCTGTGGCCTTGTGTTTTGTTGAGAGTTCGGGGGTTTTGCCACGAGCAATCCTGGCTTATGGGTTTTTAGGGCATAGTTATGATTTTGTTTTGTGGGCATGGTATTCTCAACCGGCAGGGTGTTCGAAACGAATCGAAGAGTCACGGAGCAACGCATCCCAACGCTGCACTCCCGACGAACTGAAGGGTCCCAGCGCTGGCTTACAGGCACTCACCGCTCCCTCGTTGAGGGCAATGTTATGTGGGATACAGCTTCTGCAGGCAGGGCTGAGTGGCTTTTTGGCTTATTGTTGAGGTCTTGCGAATCAGGAATTTTTACTTTTGTGTCCTGGCCTGAAGGTTTTTTGGATGCTCTTCAGACACGGATCTTGCTCCTGTTGCCTCCAGCCATCCCCAGCCCCTACCTCCAATCCCATCCAGCAGTGCCTTTCGGGAGGCGTATATGTTGAAGATGGCAACGAGATGTTCAACACCATCAGCCGCTTGGGTGGGCTTCGGAGGAAGCGTGATCAGCAACAAAGCAGGCGGATCATAAGAGTATTCACCACCATACAGACGAAGTGCTGATATTTCCCGTTTGACGTCCAGTAGTCACGGCATTCCATGTTGCAGCACTCCGATCAAATCAATAGTATGAAGCCAGCAGCAGCCGCGAGCTCATCTTCATCTTCGTGATCATCATGATCATCAACGCCACTACCATCATCATCACCGCCATCATCATGTCAACAGCGGCGACAGCAATTGTGCCAGGGAAGGTCGAACAATGTTGGCAGCATGATATGTGTATATATGTATATATACATATACACACAGATTTTGCATTGCAGCCTGAGGCAACAACGTCATCATCTGCTCGGTACACTCCAAGTGCTCAACGCCGTGGGACGTGCAGCTGGACAATGCTGCAGGAATCTACATGCGCCTTGGCAGAACGACTTTTGCCGCGGGAGTGGAGCTGTCGCAGGATCTCGGCTATTTTGGCGTGATTTGCGCTGTTGGTTGTGCACCAGCGCAAGGATCGGGATGACGAACAATCTGATCGAGAACCGTGTTGCCGGCTTCGAGAACTGCGGCTGGTCTTGCTGACTAGAGGAAAACTATAGGTGGCATGTTGCTTCATGATGTCTTTTTTCAGGCTCATCTCACCTGGAAGAGTAGTAGTATGAGAGGCACTGTTAACATTGTCGTAAGGAATATTCAGCTGCTACAGTGCAACGAGAACAACTGCAGCAGCAACGGCAGCGAGAGCATTTCCTCGAATAAATACGAGAACAGCAACAACAACAGCAGCAACAACACCAACAAAAACACAATAGCCGCAACAGCAGCAACAACAACAACAACAACAACCACAACCACCCAGCAAGGGGGTGGACGCACTCGTTTTTTGTACGGAAGACGATGGTTTGCAGTGTATATTGCTCATACGTGTTGCTTGTTTTTGTTTGTCGCTTGTGCTTCTCAGGAAGTGTCGCTCCTGAGGCTCCGGATTCTTGTTGTGCCGGGAAAAAACCGGTTCAACAGGGAAGCCTACGGGGAACCTAAGGCCGTGCATCTGTCGCACCAAGACTCCAATCATCACCACCCAGAGCGATTATCGCCATCATCATTATGAGGATGATGGTGACCATCATCATCGTTAGATTCGTCATTGTCATCATTACCATCATCATAAACATGGTTATCGCCATCATGTCATCGTCATATTCGCCGACATCTCTCTCAGGCATTTGGACCCACGGCTCCATCTACCTGAACGGCCAGGGTGCAGCCCTGGGCAAAGTCTGCCCGCAGAACACGCCTTTCGGGATCTTCCGGGGCAATGCTGCCCGGTGAGAGCTCTTGATGGATGGAAGTTGGTTCTTGTAATCGGGGGCCGAGTCTCTGTGTGAGTGCTGAAGGGTTTCCCTCTTCGCTGTTGTGCAGATTTTGAGTCGAGGTTCAAGCTTGACAGTCTGAATTCCGGCACTGGTGTCTCGTGTATGCCAGTCTGCGGCACAAAACAGTAATGCTATGCTTCATGCATCCGTGTCTCCGATCTCTCCATCAACACGCCGCCACATGAACCTCAAACTCGTTCGGGAGGATTTAGGGTGTGGGTACGTGGGTTGAGGTTTGTAGAGTAGAGGTTTTGGGTGCAAGCCTTAGTTAGGTCTTTCCATTTAATTTGGACTGCGATGCGCATGCAGGCCAAGATTTAGGCAGGAGGGCAGACAGAGTTGAAGGAGGCTGCAGCAAGGTTCGGGAGAACTAAGCGAGTAATGCTGGTGGTGGTAGTTAGACAGCGACAATTTCGTCATCATCCTCGTCACGACTATCACCATCGCCACCATTATCATCGTTTGGGCTTAGAGTCGCCACCACCACCCTTCAGTAGATAAACCCTAAACCCTGTCTCGGCTGTCTCGCTTCCCTGAGCAAGAGAACCCTAAATCCAGGTTTGCCACGACAACAACCGCTTCGGGACTGGCACCTCTTCCCTGGGCTTCGGAAGCGAAAGCCCGAACACCCCCCCAAGAGCCAGCTTTTCATGGACTTCCCCGTTTAGTTTTAGTAGCTGCCTTCAAGGCGGGACCCCCTAAACCCCCAACCACTGAAAGGTGTAGTGCCGGTTGAGCCTAGTTTTGCTCCCTGCAAAACCCTTTGGCGTCAGCAGCTTTTGGGCATAGGGAGTCGGGGACCTGGGCCTACAGCGATGCAGAAGCACTTGCGATGATGCACATAGTGGTACATGATACGCCCTGGACCATGAACCCCAGCGCATCCGGGGGAACCTGCAGGATCTATCTCGACAACCAACGGCCTCGAAATCTCGAGAGGGACGGGAACCCCGGTACGCATTGATATAAGGCAGTCCTTTCTGTAACTGGTGTAAACAAATAGAACAGCGGAGAAGGCAATGATGAGATAGAAAAGACAGTACGTGGGACGGGGAAAACGAAACATAGGAGTAAGACCTGTATGTGTATGCAGCTGTATGCATGCATTGGTTGAATTGATGTACTATAGCATAGCATCATCTGGCAACGAACATGGTATGCTACAAAGCAGTCTAGTGTAACATAACGTAATAGAGTAGAATATAGGATGATGCAACCAGTTCAAAAATGCTAGATAGCACCAAGTGACGCAGTGTTACTGTTACATGCGTTAAGATAGTATAACATAATGCATCACAACGCAAGGCATTGTAGCACCATTTTGTGTAATATACACATGCAGATGTGCAACATATAATGCGCACATAGACAGCGATTTATCTCACCCTAAAAGGATATGCAAGAACTTATTTCCGCATGTACATTTACATGTACATGCATGCATGCATCTATGTGTGTGTGCGTGTGTGCTTGTCTGCTTGTAACTATGTATGTAGTACGTATGTACATTCATGCATCTATATCTATATCTACTTGTGTACATGTATATTATATACACACATTGCATAGACATGTACACATATATGCACGTGCTAATGTGTGCACATATACAAGCAAACAATCAAACACACAAGTAGCAACTATGTGCATCCATAGTTCCATGTTAGCACATGGCGCACGAGCAGGGTACGGAAGAGACTTCAAAGTTCCAGGAGCTTCCCCCGGACTTCTATTCGCCCCCAAGCTGTTCTCAGAACGATTCTCCCAGCCTCCCCACAACTGTTGCCTGAGTCGAGACTTATCCGCAGCGAATCACTTTGACACATCAATAGGTGCTAAACATCCCCAACACACGGGCCTCTAATGTGCCCCGAATGCTTGACTCCTATGTTTATGCGACTGGTGGGACCTTACACAAACCCACAAAGCCACTTCCAGAAGCCAGGAATGGCTTCGTCGCAGACATGGGCACCTGCGGCGAGTTTACTGCGGATGGCCGTGACAACGGAGTGACCCCGGCCAATGTCATCGAAGACCAGCACCTAAGCTGCTTGTGGTCGGGGACATTCTGCAAAGGATAGCATACCTCTACACCTTGTTCTATTGTCAATGTATTTATGGGTTCGATTCAAACCAGCAAAGTTATTTTGTTCTTTGTTGTCGTATGCAGTGATACATAACATGATGATGTGCGTACTTTTGGGCATGCAGAAGATGTTTACATGGGGCTTATATATGTGCGTGTACATGTACATATATTTGCAACTTGCATGCACATGTTCACACGAACAGTCTGCCACATCATTTCGTAAACGACGCCTGCATGACATTAAGTGTGTTGTGAACTTTATGTGACATCCCGTATGTTCATCATCTCTAGTATGCTTCCGAAGAATATGTGACATCCCGTATGTTCATCATCTCTAGTATGCTTCCGAAGAGCTCAGTGTCTCTGCGATGATGCCCAGGTGGTGACGGCCACGGTGACGGTGATGCTACTGCTGCTGCTGCTGTTGTTGTTGTCGTCGTCGTTGTTGTTTCTGTTGTCGTTGTCGTTGTCGTTTTGGTTGTTGTGGTTGTTGTTCGGGTTGGGGTTGTGGTTGTGATTGTTGTTGTAGTTGTTGTAGTTGTAGTTGTAGTTGTAGTTGTAGTTGTAGTAGTAGTAGTAGTAGTTGTTGTTGTTGTTGTTGGTGTTGTTGGTGTTGTTGTTGTTGGTGTTGGTGTTGGTGTTGGTGTTGGTGTTGTTGCTGTTGTTGTCAGTTGTTGTTGTTGTTTTACTTGTACTTGTCGTTGTTGGTGGTGGTTGTGTTGTCGTCGTCGTCCTCCTCCTCTTGCTTTTGTTGATGGTGGTGCTACTGCTGTTGCTGCTGCTGCTGCTGCTGCTGCTGCTGCTGGTGATGACGATGATGATGGCGATCATGACTACGAATGTTTTATAGTTGCTAGTAGTGCTGGCCGGTGATATTGACTATGAGTATGGCCATGATGATGAGGATAAAAAAAGATGAGGACAGGGAGCATGTGCATGATGTGGATGATGATGATGAGGTTGTTGTTGTTGATGATGATGATGATGTTGATGATGATGATGGTGATGTAATGATGCTGCTGATGATGATCTAGAAAAGATGGGGATGGAGAGGACGACGATGATAAAGATGATAGTCCAGAAAAAATCATGACGATGACGATGACGACGGTCATGATGCTGCTTGTGCTGGTGCTGGTAATGATGGTCATCGTCTGTACATGCTACCAGGGTCGCGCCGCGTGAGTTGTCTGTGGCGACTGGGGTACAAGTGCCGTGGCATTGCTCCGAGTTCGTGCAGCGAAGGTTTGACTGGCACAACGACTTCGTCGGCCAGCTGCTTGCCACAAATGGACCTGGTGTGCTGCTCCAAGGGTGGATCTACGAAGGTTGCAAGGGCACACCGCGGCAGATGCCCGAAATATCGAGCCCCAGGACTGAACAAGTCCCATGGAGCCTTCCCACCAGTCCCTCAAGCCCGGTTACTTTGGGCTGTCGGCAAGATGTCAACCTCAGAAGCGACTTCGACTTGAAGTTCTTCCTCCGAGTCAACTAAGCGAAATCTCGGACTGGGTTTGCCGCGGCCCCATGCAGCCAGCGGAGGTATTCCATGGGTGATATCGCCTTCCTGCGCTTTGTGAGCGTCAACAACGCACACGACATGTACTGGAAGCTTGGTCAGAAGTCGTTGAAGTTGGGGAGGAGGCAAATATATGAGAATTATTATAGAGTAGGGACAAGATATGGGAAGAAGGTAGAAGAATAAGCAACTCAGCGGCAACAGCAAAGGCACCCACTAGCACATAACACCATTTCAAGTGCCACTGCCTCAACCGCCATTACCACGGCCGCTTCCCTGCAATAGCCTCAGCACCGGCGACCGCCACGACCATCGAAAAAGAAGAGGGCGACGACCTCGACAGCCAAGGCTACGACAATGATGAAGTGTCATGAGGATGATGATGAGGATGATGATGATGATGAGGAGGAGGATGAAGAAGAAGATGATGATGATGGCGGACACGAGGTTTGGCTCTATTCTGATAGTGAGGATGTCTGTCACTGATTGTGGTCCAAATTGTCATGGCTAGCAATGCAGATGATAATGCTGCTGATGCTCCTGAAACCTCCGCTTCAGGGTCACAAGCCAAAAAATGCGACAGCCTCGTAGGGCTGTAAAATGAGAGCCTCAGCGAGGAAGGAGTCGAAGAACTTTGCCGACGGCGTCTTTGACGCAGCTACGATCGCCCGGCTTCTAGGTTCTGGGGTTTAGGTTCTGGTTGGTTTTAGGTTCCTGAATTTGGAGTAGTTTTGGTGGACTCAGCAAATAAATCCAGGATTTTTCACCGGGGCAACTTAATGTCCTCGCCTGGAGCATGCACAGCGAGACCGAAAGCCTTTCCACGTGTGGATCAACATCGCTACCCTCATAAGCGCGTGTCCGGATAGATCCATTTGATCACTTTGATGGGGCAGGCAGGTTTGGAGACAATGGGACTAGATGCGACTAGGACAGAACGTGGAGTACTCGTGTCGTCCGTGCATACTTCTTAAAAGTCCACTTGCGTGTGTGTGCCAGCTTGCAGCGACCGTGGAGACCAACATCTACTCGCACGGGATTGGCTGCCCCCAATCGAAAGTTCTGCCGAAACTTTTCTCCATCTTCCCCACTCGTGCAGTAGTCGCAGTTTCATAGTCTACCGAAGTTCTATACTGTATGATACGACGAACCTACCAGGCCAATCCCATCACATCCGGGACTCTTTGTTCCTCAGCGATCCGAAGGCCATGGCCTCAGCTCGGGGAGCATTGCTGTGACTTCCAGACGAGCAAGTGTGCTTCCACTACTACTCCTCCTCCTACTGCTACTGCTACNNTACTGCTACTACCACCACCACCACCGCCACCACTACGCGCAAAGCCTCCCGGTTGCCCACCCTCAGGCCCCACTTTAGGGCTTTGGGCTTGGCAACCCACATCTGCTTTTATGGTTTTGGGTGAGTTCTCAACCAACCTCTCTTTTTCGGGATTCGGGCTTCTCAACCAACATATTTTTGTAGGGACGCAACTTGCGCAAAGCATGCAGGTTTGTTCGCAGCCATTGTATGCCGACCTAAACGTTTAAATCTTACGAAAAACGGGCGCCTGTGTATTTCGAGCTTTCCAGCCCGTCGTCACAGAGATGGTGCGGGCAACCGCCAGGATTCGGGCACAGTTATACTACTGCTACTGCTGCTGCTGCTGCTGCTGCTGCGGCCACGGCTGCTACTACTGCTGCTGCTGCTGCTGCTACTACTACTACTACTGCTACTACTACTAGCACCACAAGCACGACCAGCACCACTACGACGACGACGAATAATTACTCCTATTACGTTGTGCCTGCAAACTAGGACCTTTTTTTCCCAAAATCTTGACGGTCTTGCAATCTTGCTCAGGCCCGCGGGGGGTGGGGGGCAAGATTGCCAAGCAATCTT